CCCTGTGACGGACGAAGAAGAAAAGTTTTGTGAGCGTTGTTCGTTCAGTTTCTCGATTTATTTCATATTGCTGCTATATTTTCTATCGTGAGACAGTTAATAGAGCTACTTTAAAATGGGGAAACGACAGCATCAGAAAGATAAGATGTGAGTCTATTGCGTTATTATTCGCATAACCATTTTATTACATTCCGACTATAAAGTCTACAATAATGTCGCTCTTGCTTTCCAATCGTCCAACAAGCTTCTGCCTCTTCCTCAGGTACTTGACGTACACAGAGTGGTCGACATTATACGGCGGCAGGAAATCGGGGACGAATCTCGAAACGAGCGAGGAGAAAACGTTTAGACGTCTGCCTTACGATCACTGCTGCTTGTCTCTGCAGCCTTTCGAGCATCCTTACTGTGACCCGCATGGCAATGTGTACGAACTAGAGGCTATTTTGCAGTACTTAAAACAGTTCAAGCACAATCCCATAACGGGGAAACCACTGGACGCTAAGAGTCTCGTCAAGCTAAATTTTTACAAGAACAAGCAGGACGAGTACCAGTGTCCCGTCCTCTTTAAATTGTTCACGAAACATTCGCACATTGTTGCTGTTAAAACCACGGGAAATGTTTACTCTTATGAGGCGAGTATATAAAATATGAATATATTTTCCAAGCTAACGTAATACTTTTCACAATAAGTTTTTCAAATACAATTAATAGCCAGTCGTGGTTGAACAATGTTTGTCTGTTTTAATTTTTTTTATTATCTTTGTATAATAACTACTTTGCATAAACTTTTATCTAATATCGAGTACAATGAAAGGGGCTCAGAGCCTGAACAGGATTGTAATGTCTGACAAAATTATTTTATTATTAAATGTACATATGTATACGTTTCGGTCCCTATTGGACCATCCTCAGTATAATGAAGAAAATCAATAAATACAATTAAAGTCGATCGGCGAATCAAAAACACACATAGACTACGCAGTTAGTAATACAAAATTGCAATAAATTGAAGGACAATAGTACAAAAGACGCGGCGTATGTGGATATAAAATCATGAGTCAAAAAGTAAAAATAGTAACAGTCATATAACGGTAAAAAATAAAATATGAGACGGAAGTGCAAAATAAACGGTCAATGAGTAAAAACTGTAACAGTCAAGCAAGGGTAAAAAAATTAATTGGCAATCGAAAAATGGTAAAACTAAATTGATAATTTAGTGCCAAATCGAGGAGAAAGAAAAGAGATGTATTTACATTGTAGGTGTGTTGGGCCATGTGGACGACGGTTAATTATTTTATCTAATAAGAGAATCATTCTTTTAGGCTGTTGAACAGTTGAATATAAAAACTGGAAATTGGAAAGATTTGATAAACGATCAACCATTCACCCGCAAAGACATTATCACGATTCAGGATCCAAATAATGCAATGAAATTCAATCTGTCCTCGTTCCATCATATTAAAAATAATATAAGAGTAGAAGACGAAGGTGAGTTTCGTAAATACAAAAGGAATTGGTTCTACAGTTCTTTGTTTTTGTATGCTATATGTATATGAACGATATTTTCTAGAGACCGTGAGAGAAAGGAACAATCCAAATGCAAAATTAAAAACCGTCTCGGGGGAAACCAAGGACATCCTGGCGGAATTGGAGAGAAACTACAAGCCTACGAAAAGCGAAAAGGAGACGTCTATTCAGAAAGCTGATAAATTTAATGCTGTTCGTATATTATTCGCAAATGGTTTACGAATATTGGAGAAAGTAATTTTACCATTTATTTATGTTTCCGTTATTTAGGCTCACTATTCCACTGGTGCAGTTGCTGCGGGATTTACTTCGACGGTAATGCCGGCGGAGACTACTCATCAGGCGGCTGTAATCGCGGAGGATTTGGTGCGATACGAGAGAGTCAAAAAGAAGGGTGCGTTAGCGCGGTTACTAAGACTCCGTCGCGTAATAATTTTTGGGCGAGAAAAATAACTATTGAGGACTCGACCTCAGAATCTAGGGCTCGATACTTGAATTCACTTGCAAGAGAAACGTATGTGTAAATTCTGCTCTTACAAAAAAAGTTGCGAGTCGATTGGCTACTTGCGCGGGTTTAGCCTATCGACTTGCAATTTTTCAGTAAAGGCAGAATTTGTGTATATGTTTCTCTTGCGAATTAATTCAAGCGAATCATTTCCACTTACCGGGCGACTCTTATTACTGAGCTGAGCCCGCTCATTTGATACTCCTCTCTCTTGCTCTCTGTTTTACCTAACAAAATACGAATGACAATTCTTGTTCCCGTTTATCCTCTTTCACTTAGGATATGTGAGATTATTCACGAACTTTGGGGCTTTGAATCTTGAGCTTCACTGCGACCTGGTTCCGAAAACCTGTGAAAACTTCACGAGACACTGCCAGAACGGTTATTACGACGGCACGAAGTTCCATAGGTCGATACGAAATTTTATGGCAAGTACATCAAGGATTTATAATTCAAATTTCGAATTTTTAACTTTGCATGTTCCTCCTTTACTTTCTTGTTAAAAATTTTTTTAAATTTCGTACAATGGCTCCGTTTTCCCGCAGATCCAGGGCGGTGATCCAACCAACACGGGCAACGGCGGCAAGTCTATTTGGGGCAAACCATTCGAGGATGAGTTCAAGCCGAATCTAGTTCATCAAGGCAGAGGCATTCTGTCCATGGCAAACTCAGGTCCAAACACCAATGGATCCCAATTGTAAGACTGAAGAAAGGCGAGGAAGTTACATTTTGCATCACGCCGTGACTCTTGTTATGAATTTATTATTGTCCTTTCAGCTTTATCACGTTTCGATCGTGCAGACACCTCGATCGCAAGCATACGGTCTTCGGAAAGATCGTCGGCGGCCTGGACACGTTGAACGCGATGGAAAGAGTGGAGGTGGACAACAAAGACCGACCGATAGAAGATATAGTTATACAGACTGTCCAGGTTTTTGTGGATCCCTTTCAGGAAGCCAACGATCAGCTCGCCGCAGAACGAGTCGCTGAAACAGAACGATTGGCCCAAGAAGCGAGTCAGAACAAACCGGTAGATAAAACGGACAAGAACGACGCCCAGAAGGTTTATCGCTCGGGCATAGGGAAATATGTGAAACTGGAGCAGGAGAAGTAAGATCTCTGTCGAGCTTTCGCGAATCGACATTTGTCCGTTTACACGGCGTTTAATTCAATTTTCAGATCGGACAAATGGGACGGGAATGCGGAGCCTGCCAAAAAAAAGAAGAAGGCTCCATTGCAGTCGTATGGAGATTTCTCTTCTTTCACCTTCTAACAATTAGAATAGCAAATGTACATACATGGTGTAGTATACTATACATACAACTTCTCTGGCGGTTTGCCATAAAGTCTCCGGTATACCCAGATTCCTATTGACGAGTTAAAAGACAAAAGGTACATAACTGTCAAAACAGCAAGGAATATCACGAGACACGGTAGTGTCTCGTGCCAAGTATAAGCGAAAAGTTTTAAAGTGACAAGCTAGATTGATTATTACGCTGCATGTGTAAATATATGATCCCCATTGTCGAAAATACAATCCCCGAAGCCCGTATCGGACTACGGATTGAGATTGTGATTAGAGTAAAATTCACTAAACTTGAGACTAGTAAACTTTACTCCGATCAAATTTCAATCTAATCTCAATCCGTAGTCTGATGCGGGCTTAAAAAAAAGATTGCAACTTGCCAACAAAGCAAATTGAATAAAGAATATTTATTTAAAAAATTAGTAAGGCTTATATGTGATAAACAAATTCGAGGAAATAAAGCTGAAAGCTGTGACGGGCTGTTAGTGATTAATTTTATTTTGTAAATTTATCGCGAAAAATACTATCTCGGGGTTTGAACCCGGACTTCCCCTACTCACTAGGCGGGCGTCACCGATTCGATCACTGAGGCAGGTGGTAATATTTATCACCATAAACAGTCTAATGGTTGTATTTACCCGAAACTAGCGAGTATCCCCCAATATTACTCTTCCACCCGTCCGAACACCTAAATTGAGAAACGCATATTAACGCCTGCATAATTGATAAAATTCGTAAGGCTGACATGTGATAAGCATAAATTCGACTCCTTAATATTGATTAAATTAATAATACTCATTTCATAACAATCACAGTCGAGTATTCTCCTCATTTTTTATTGTGATTGGTCAATTTCTTAGGGCTTAGGGTTTAGATCTCCTATTGTAGACTGGGACTTGTGTTCTAGGGACGGTTTCACTATTTCCAATTAAATTTCAGTGTTCCATTAGAATGCACCAATTACATTTGTCGTAACGAGAATTAACCAATCGCGGTTGACACTTAATCGGCCGATCAAATTAATCGGAGATGAAACCGGCCCTAAGTTTTCTGTTTTAAGTAGCGCGCGATAACTCTGTCTTATATCGTAAGTTTTCAATGCGTATACGAGGACAACGTTTGCATAGAACAAATGAACACGAAAGTAACAATTTTACTGCGCGAAGGACTATCGTGCGAGTATTTTACACACATCGTCTTAAATCGCAAGTCGGTCGTTACGCTAAGGTCCTGACGCGCGCTATTTCACATTTCTGCGCAAAAATATCCGCCCAGGTGCGTACGTTCGAGGGCTCCGCGGCGCCTAGGGCTGCTACTGGAAGTACTGGTCCGGTCGAGGACCGGAGCCTCCATGTTTGACGTTCGCCGCGCGGGCGTGCGAGTTGGTGCGGAGCGAAGTGAGCCGTTGTCCAGTTGCGCGGCGGTGACGTGAAGGCCGCGCTTTCTCGGTTCGATCGGCACGGCCTGTTCGGGCGGGCGGAGGCGGCCGCGGTACCCCGGAGAGAAGTTTCGCGGGACGGAGGACTCCGTCGTCCCGGCACGCATTATGGACGACCTGGGTGAGTAGAGCGCCCGGAGAATTCCGGTCGGAGCGCCGAGCTAACCTCCCACAGGCACGCCTAGGCCGCCTGTCACGGCGACGACGCGACGTTGGGATGCTGCGGCGGGACGTCGGTCCGCAATCGCGTGGACACTCGCGTCGTCGAGCACCATTTCGTTGGCCGACGCTCGAGACCTTTTACACTCGCGGTCCTGTCAAAGACGATCACTGGAGAGAGTCGCGAGGTTACGTTTCCTTCTCTTTTTGTGTGTTTTCTTTTGTCACCCAAGGTATCGGCACCTCGAGACGCATTCGTCTGCGCCTACCGTGCGTCTACGGGAACGTTGGCACTTGTTTAGCATTCGGGAACGCGCTCGGTACCGTTACGCTGTCATCGGGAACATTGACAGTTCGAGATGCGCCCCCGTTTCCGTTCACCAGGTATGGGATTGTGCTGGCGTTATGCTGGGACGCTTCGAAACTCGGGCCTTCAAAATTGAAATGTTGGGTCGGCGACTGGGTAGTTGCGAAAGTTGTTTTAATAATACGGAAAACTTATTGCGAAAAATATTACCTCAGCCAGGGTTTGAACCTGGATCTCCCTTCACTCTGGGCGGGCGTCTCAACCAACTCGACCACCGCGGCATATTTTATTAGTATTATAAAATATACGTTTCGTAGACTCGACCGTCCTCGGAGCACATTCGTAATACAGTTAAAACAAACGTTAGAAAATCAAATGTACAAAGAATAAAAAAATAATCGTACGGAGTAATTAGTGGATTGTACATTTATGGAATTAGTCCTCGCATGCCACGTGAGATTGTTATGAAATGAGATGAGTCTTAATGTTAGAAATTGCCTCGTGAAAGACAGAATTCTCGTGGTACAGAAGTGGGTTGTAAGTGGATGGGTTTGAACGAGGGGGGAACCGCTGAGGGCATTGTGGTGTACAGATTTGCGACGTTACTGGGCATTACCGGGCATTTTTTGGGCATTAGTAATACCTTGTTGGGGCATTACAAAGATAAAGTAAGATAAAACTAGATAACAACTAAATTTTTAACTCGGCCCTTTTAAGATATAAATTAATTACAAGTGTAAACGCCTTTAGGACCTGGCACAGATGGAGGTAGCCACTTGAATTGTCGTGTAAATCCGAGTAAAGCAAGATAAATAAGGTAAAATAAGATAATAAGTTAAAGTAATGCCCACTGGGCGTTAGTGGGCATTGGTGTACAATACTGTACAATACTGTACAAGATTTTGGTCGACAGTTGCTGGTAAAGTTTGAATAGTTTCTACGATGTAGAATAAGCTATTCAAATTTTGCTAGTCTGGTCGACTATAAGCTCTGCATTTTTAAGTTTATAATTATATTATTATTAAAAATTACTTTTGTGGCAATCGTGGCGCAGAGGATTGCGCGCTGGTCTGGTAATCCGAAGACCCGGGTTCAAAAGCAAACGAAACATTGTTGCTTTTCGTTCGATCGCCACAGAGCGAAGTGGATGTAGAGAGAGGTGTTATAAGAGGTTTGGGCACGTTCCTTCAAAAACGCCTTGCAACCCTATTTTTAATAAATGTATTTACATTTACATTTATTAAAAATTACTTTAAATCGCATATAATATGCGCATTATACATTTATTTATAATTATTTTTAATTATATTTATCATACAAACAGTGGATGAGATCCGAAAATAGCTTGACGACTTTATCGTATCCAAAGACGTAACATTTTTCCGAGATGGAATTCATCAGTTGCCTGAAAGATGGCTTAAAGTTATAGAAAGCAACGGCGAATACTTTGATTGAACAATTTCATTTACTTTCTTTTAAAATAAACCCTAAATGTAGCTGAAAAAATTGGATTATTCATTTGTACACCTAATATATTTAAACGTGTCGACGTGCATTGAGGAAGATTAATCCTATCGACGCGACCCCCGAAAGGCCTTCTTTCGCGCGTCTCGCCGGCAGTGCTTCCGGCTTGTTTTTCCCATCGCGAGTCCGCGTAGAGATCCGCGGATAAAACGTGCTGAATATCGGCGACGAGAATGGGGAGGAAAGCCGCGAGAAACTGGAGGGGCACGGTTGCGATCGCGACTATTATCTCGTACTCCTATATGGCGAGACCTCGTTGCATCAGTGTTATGCCAGCTACACATTAGTTTGTCGCGTACTCGTTATGGTGCCGCAGCTCAGTCCACTCGCGACGTGAAAAGGGACGTTACATTTTACACGTTCGGCTGGGAACGCGGGACGTCAGGTGTTGAAAAGATAATCCCGGGCAAATAGGAAGAGCAACCCCTGTACATGATACAGAATTTTTATTGGATTTATATACGAAAAATATACATATAATCTTTATAGGCCGTTCATCATTTTGGGCCCAAACATTTATTAATAATTGGATTAATAACGAAGGACTCTCCGTAACAAAATTAACAAGTAACAAGTAAAACGGGGCTTTAAGGGTTCAGCACAGTTGATGATGCGTAAGGTAACGAGTGTAAATTATATCGATCCTCTTAACCAATAAGGATATATTTGTAGTTATAAATCGGACGTTTACGTATCGTCAACCGTTGAGTTCTCAAAATCCCGTCTCACTCTTGTCGCTTGTTAATTATAAAATTTACCAACTTCTTATTTTAATGTTAAAAAAGTCACTTCTTATCCTCAATATTTCATAATTTTATTTTTATATCGTAATCTAATTTTTGCCCAAAATTTGAATTTTTTAAACGGCGAATACTCCTGCGATGTATTACACATGGGTCAGTTTGGATCCCGAACAGCTTTTGCGTAGAGTCAGTTCCAGCAACCTATGAAGGTTGAATTGGGGAGGGAAGTTCAGTAATATGTTTCGAATAAGTGTGAAACAGCCGCATTGCGCATTCCGATGAGAATAGCTGAATGCGAACGATATTTCCGCATCGTGTTGCATTTCTGGTCGACATCTGGTCGCGGTTACTAACTTAGCGATACGGTCGGAAAAACAAAACCCTTATCCACTGCACGCACTGTGCCGTTTAACATTACAACTACTAAGCTGATCGAAATGATTTGTCTTACATTTTTTTTCACAATTATTACTTATTTTTAAATCCTATTAAAATTTGTCAAAATTTATAAAATTGCCTGTCTGCATGTTTCAACAAAAGTCAAGGAAAATTCTAAAATTTTATGTGCAAACTATTAATCTTATATAAATTCGTTTTCTTTTTCTTATTTTTGTCCAAGTTTTCTATGTGGTTATTCTATGTAACTCAATCTAGTGTTAAACGTTGTGAACATCGGCGATGTGTGAGAATCTAATTATTATTTTCTATGGAAACAATTGAATCGTCCAATATTGGACGATTATGGCTGCGGTCAAGCTGTTGCTTCGAATGTTACGAAGTATTCTTCTTCTCTTTTCTTACAGCAAAGATAGAAAGAGAGGAGAAACGCTTCGAAGCACTTATAGCGGCAGCTTGACCGTAACCATCATCCCAACAGCACACGATACTATTTTTCCTACTGGATTGCTTACGAGAGCCAATAAGGATGCAGAGTTTTAGATCGGGTGACTTGAGGCTAAATCCCGATTGGCTTTCGTAAGCAGTCCAGTAGGAAAAATAGTACCGTTGGCTTTAGATTCCTTTAATTAAATGACAACGTACGCGACGTTTGACGAAACGAGTCTTCCTCGCGAGAGATAGATGATGCGTGGTTCGCAGAGTATTCTTTAGGGGTCGGCGTGATATTCACGCTGATAACATGGTAACCTTGATAACGATAGCAATGTTAGCATATAACAGTTCGATACGTCATATCTGATCGCCAATATACAGGGTGGGCGATTTTAATGTCCCACCCCAAATACTTCATTTCCTTTTTGCTGTAATTCAGTGAAAAATGATCCAATTTTAAAGAACAAAAAACCGTTGTATTCGTCTCATTGTCAGCTACAACTTTCATCTCGAGAAAAAATCGACTTCCATTTAGAAAAATGATCGCCATGATGAAATTTCGAAAGTGCCGTCTGCGAACAAATTGATGTCGCTCCCTTGTGTCGCTCCCCCTTGGGGGTCAAACAACTTTTGTAGGAAGCATTTTTTTGTAAAAGGCGTAGGAAATGCAATATTTAGGATGGAACATTAAAATGGCTCACCCTGTATATTGCTCCGGGAATAAATTGATGGATTTGGATCTCGTCAATATCAATCCGGAATCTTCAAAAGCATGGGATATTATGCATCTCCCTCTCTCTCTCTCTCCCCTCATCTTTGCCTCTCGCAGCGCCGCTACGTCTCGTCTTTCTCTCTATAGTCACTTTGTCTTCTCTTAGCTGTCCAATTTCCCTCTCCCTTTCTCCGTCTATTTATTTACCTGCCCTTTCTTGGCAATCTTCTCTTTCTCTATTCTATTCTATTTGCTCTTTCCGCAGCGATTTTCCCTTCTCTCCTCCCTCCGACGGGACGTTTCCCTTTCTGAAAGCGGACACAGCGGTCAGGGCGAAAGAGGCCGAAAGAGAGCTTTCTCTGTGACACTGGGTGCGGGTGAGCGCCGGAAATATACCCGCGCGTGGCGTCTCGTCTTACTCTTATTCGCCGGCGTTCACCAAGTCGGCGGCACCGTCACCAAAGACCCGCGCATCCGTGTTGTTCGTCGCAGTCGCGACAAATTTCCCGTCGTTCCGACGCGCGTTCTCCACCTTCGCGCGTTGGCCTCGTTACTCGGGGATTCGCGTCTCTCGCGGGGGGAATTGCGTCGCTGCGCCGAATCACCCAATTCCATTTCAGCGAATAATCCATCACGTCGAGATGCCCCGACGCAAATTCTATTCGCGCGTAGGAGGAATCCCGTGATCGCGACAACGGAGACAGCCAGGTGCCCTACGAAACCCCACCGTTCGCAGGGACAGTTCTCCTTTTAGTCGGTCTTTAGTCTCGAACGTCGTTCTACTACGTCATTAACGGGAAAGATGTATTTCCCGGGATTCATGAGTCTCGAGAGAAAACTCGTGGTTACCCCTCGGCCGTGTTGGTGAAGTGTGTAAAAGGCTCAAAGTCACCTTCCCCGAAATCTGCGTGCAGCAAGTCGTACAGTTGTCGAGGAAATCGAGTGTTGATGACATGCATTATCGCGACCCATTGATTTAGCCCGAGGAGAGTTTCGCGAGATGACCAGAGTGAAATTTACGCGGTGTTAAAATTAGCCTTGTGGTCCACTTGAACCTCACTAACACAGTCAAGGGCCCGAGCTCTCTTCCGCTGAACCGTCGAGTAAATCATTTCGCTCAACACAGTGCTTCGGGACGCTTCGTTTCTTCCTTACGCTCTTACTTCTAAATATTCTAGAGTTCGTTGCCCTCCCTATAGTTGAAATAAACTGAAAGGTTATAGTTGAAAGGAACTAGGAAAACGGACACCTCTTCTTCGCGATGATTGATGACTGCGTCGAGAATTCTCGGGAGAAATACGGATTTTAACCGTATTCGTTGTTTACCTGTTGTAGCCTTTTTTTCGTCGGTTTTAGATCTATTCTGTTTTCATTATGTCGCAAGTACGTTAGTTTCTACGCTAAGTAAGAACTTTATCCAATGATGAAGTTACTCGTTGTTAAGGGTCAGAGAACAGAGCGACGTAATAACTTATACCAAGACGTAAGTCATAAACGTAGACAGTGCACAAGCTTCGTTAAATGTAATGTCGTATACATATAATCAGAAGTAATTACGATATGCGTCGAAGCTTGTGTGTTACTTACGTTCATGATTTACGTCCTGTCGTAAGCTATTACGTCGCTTTGTGCTTCAACCCTGACTTGTAACTTATACGTTTGCGAAAGCTGATCTTCTTATCTCGATAACCCGTTAAATTAGCGTCAATTCGCTGCCGCGCAACAACGGGTACCGTAATTACTTCCTCGGGGCGGAGGGAGGGAGGGAGGCAAGCTTATGTCACCGTTTACTCGACGATCACCACGTGAGTGAACACGTGCACGCGTACGCACGCGCATCCAATTCCTCCTACGAGAGCGTGTGCGTGTGCACGCAAGTATAGAGCGAGGACGATGGCGATGGATCGGACGATGTACGGCAAGGTGGAGCCGGGTGACACTTATCAGCCCTACAGGATCACCATGAAGAAAGGCTCGCCGCCTGGATGTAAGTTTCTCAAACGGGACGTTCATAGGAGTGACAATAACACAATCCTCGTTCCTCCCCGTGAAAATAAATTGCTACTGTGTGCTACTAATTGACTCGCGATCACTCAGAAAAATATCTTACTAACGCAGGTAGATTTCTAGGTCGCAACAAAAACTTATCGCTATTTTGGGAGACCGGAGTCAGTTGTAACATTTCGACTTTGACAGCTTGCGGTAACCATAATAGAATAACTAGGTAAAAATAGGTAGTGCGCATGTGTTTATTTGTTTACAAAAAGACACCACTGCGATTGCTATTAAGGTAATTTCCAATTGAAAAGTTTCAGGAAAAATGTTACAACTGACCTTAGCTGTGGGTCAATTGTAACAGTAGGTCAGATCAGTTATAACACATATGAAAATAACAAGAAAATGAATGATTGAATGATAATCGCAGAAAATAATTGCTAACCCAGAGTACTGTCAAGACACATTTCATAACAAGTATAAATCGTAATTTATTTAAAAATTAATGTTTCTTTTTTTAATAATCAATCCATTGTTTCGACATAACTGGCTATATTTAATTTGTTACAATAACAACGTTTCGACTTTCTTTTTTTACTTCCTTTACAGTATAATAAAGTATCTGACAAAAATAATCTTTAGGGTCGCCAGCAATAATTAACAACATTAAATTTGTTTGACCGTATCTGGCAGTTTTAATCACGGTCGTTTTAATGTTCAAAACTTGCTACGTTTCTAAAGAGTCTAGACTGGAAAGACTCCATTCTCCTCTAGCAAGAATGCGCTATTGATCCAACGGTTATCAATTTATTGGGAATGTTACTACCCCCTGTTACAACCGACCCCGGTCTCCCCTGTCTGTTAGAAAATTGTTTGTAGCCCACAAAATTTATAGCAGTAACATTTTATTAATACCTTCTGGAAAGTTTAGGTTTCATGACTGAATATTAATCATTCACAGCTGGAACAATTTTTGTAAAGAATATAATTGTTTACATACCACAATCAAACGTTATAATGGATGGGCGTCACAGAAAGATCAGCCCAGTTTTTACCCCTCAGTTTTTAATTACTTGATCATATATTCAAAGGTTTCTGTTGTTAGTTACAACGTTAGCAGATCGACAGATTTATAAAGAAAGGCTTTCATTGTTAGTCGTCATTAATTTACATCTAATTGTAAGGCTTTACGTTTTATGTTTCGCTATTGTAAAAATATCATTTGAAATTGCATCGAGTCATTAGCGGTTTAGTCACGTTCGAGGGGGAAACCGCTGAGGGCATGTGGTGTACAGATTTGCGGCATTACTGGGCATTACTAGGCATTTTTTGGGCATTAGGCTTTGCTGGGGCATTGTAAAGATAAAATGAGATAAAACAAGATAAATAAGGTAAAATGAGACAATAAGATAAAGTAATCCCCACTGGGCATTGGTGTACAAGATTTTGGTCAGCGGTTTCCCCCTCGGCCACGTTATAACGAGAGGTTATTTCAATGATACGTTTGTGTTTACAATAGAGTAATTACCGAAAGCCATCGATGGTAGTGGAGTCAGTCGTCAAGGCTGCTCCGTCGAAGGCAGACGGAGCTCTGTTACGTTCGGAATTACTCAAAGCGCTGTTTGATTTAAATAAATGAATTATTCCGCACTGTCGATGCTTAAAAGACTCCGCGTTGTTCTGAGCTCGGAATTAAAAGAAATATTAGCGAAAAGCATCGCCGCTCAGTCGTGAGGTACCGTGATTTAAAATCGACTTTGAGGTGTTCTTCAGTGACTGCGATACGCGGATACGAATGACGTGACGGTAAAGGAACGGAACTAATTTCTAAATGCCTTACGCGAACACGTTCCACGATATTATCTGCACTTACGGATTACATACGTTCGCTGTTTATCTCAGACATGATGTAATTAGACATCCATCAGAATATCCATTCTGCGGTTCTGCCGATCGATCGGCGATCCGGTTACACCCGCATACGATTAAGCACGCCCTCGGGATTGCCACAACGTTGTCGGCGTGGCTCTTTGACGATCGGTTGTACGATCGCCGTGCAAATTCAAGGTGAATATCGGTGCGTAGGTATCTCCTCTTCCTCGATCGCACCTCGGGGGGATCCGCACCTCCATATGAGGTCAGCCTCGCGTGGTCTCCACCTCCCACGCTCGCGCGCTCGCGACGCAAATATGTAGGAAGGCGCGATAAAGGAATCGCCCGCACTCGGGCCGGTTTAGATTCCAGTCGATCGATTGACCGAGTAACTAGTGAAAAAATTATCCGTCCGAAGGGAAAGGGGCCGCGTCCATGTTCGCGATTGCTTCGCAATTAACGTCCTTCGCAAGTTCCATCGATAGTTGCCGGGGGGGGGGGAGGGGAAGCGAGAGGAACTTTCAGATTTTTGCTGTCGAATTATCACGCGGTTGCGCATTTTTCGCGATTACGGAATATCGTCGAACATAAAAAAATAGATGAGAACGTAAAATCGGCCGATTTTGACGTCAGTCGCAGCGTTCGCGGGTGCGTCGAGAGTGTTGCAGTGATTTAGGGGTTGCGGTGTGCACATATATTTTGCGCTCGAAGTGGGTGATATCTCGTTATCGATTGCCGCCCCGAAGTTTGCCCGATTGGGATTCCCCGATAGGTCTCTCGTCCCTGACTCGCCCATTCGATGTTAAAATCGCATCGTTGGCACGAGGGTGTCGCGGGAAGGCGGGTGGTCTCACGTAACAGTGGTGTCGCAAGCGCGGCAGCGGCAACAACAGCACGTGGTGCCAGTACCTCCTGGTCCTGCCAGACATCCGGAGCCGATTGATCATCTCGCCGTCCCCGCGAGTCATCCCGACGGCGTGTTCGCGCACGTGTCGCTCCACGTGTCCAGTTTTAGCAGGACGGGTTCGTCGACGTGGCCGTCGTTGGTAAACGGGGTTAGACAGAGCCGGACCCTCGTCGACTCCACTCGTCTCCCGTCCGTGACCCTTTGACCTCGCGACGGCAATCTCGTCCGTTTAGGACACAATTACTCGTCGCCCGTGGCTTCGTTTATTCGCAAGTGTAGTCGAAGAATTGTGACCGCTCGGCGACGTTCCCTTTGCCTCTTCGAGAACTCGATGGATCAACCTTGAAGTCGGAATAATTGCGTTTAGAGCGGTCTTTTCGAGCTGTTAAAAGGCTCCTCGTCGTAAATGGCGATCCATCAGATCGGGATGTCCACACCTGGTTTGAAATGCGCAACATTTCCAACTCGCGTCACGATCGATTGAGAATGAAACGCGCGTTTTACCCGATCCGCGAAAATGAGATCCGCGGCTGCGTTTCTGGAATAGAATTAAAGTTGTCCAGCTAGAGAGAGCGAGTCTAGCTAGTTCTGCTCTAATTTGAGGTTTATTTTTACCTCGCTGCCGGCACAAGTTAGAGCACAACACAGACTCTGTGGTGGATTCAGTTCGCGCGTGATTTACAGAGAATCCGGACGGCGGTTATCGTCGTCGATAACGAACGGCGGATATTTTTGGCGTGTCAAGAGACTTTTCGTCTCCTCATCTGCGAGCCGCCATCTGTCGCTTCCCGCTGTCCGTCGCGACTTATTGTTGGCAAAATAATATTTCAAAATCCAATTAAACTCGATAAGAACGCGGGGTGGCTCAGAAATCACTACTGCGAGAAGCTATTCATACAAGAGGCTGTTTAATATCACAGATGTAACGGGGAGTTAATGTCAAAAATATTTCATTGCAATGTACAGTTTTTCTTGCCTTCCGTTAACATGTATTTAAAAGAGGCACAACGAAGCTTAAATAAGTCGAGCTTCGCGTTTGAATTTATTTTCGAAGTAGTGATCTCTCGGCCAAGCTTGTAACCACGTTACAATATCTCGTCTTTTGCCGTTGTTGCCCTCGCGTAGAAAAAGTGCCGAGTGTGTGAGACTTTCGAAAACGCGTAAAAATGATGACGGACGTGATGAGGCCTGTCTCGCCGATTTCACCGGTTCGCTTGGCGACGATTCGACGTCACGCGCGGTGGGAGCAATACGTTAGTAAGTATTGAGAAATCGCCTCTAATTAGACTAATTCCGAGAGTGCGTGCGGCAACGCGCGTCTCTTTGTCGCCCGAATGTGCCTTTTCTCGTCAATTCTCTCGGTGCACACATTTGTCTCTCCTGATTTATCCTCATTTTCGAGTAACGCAGAAATATTTAATAGCGAAAAAATATAAAGACTTTTAATATGTAAAAAATAACCCGAAAGTAATAAGAACATAGCGTGCAACACGGTTGTTCGTGTGTTAAAATATCATTGGTTATGTTTAGTTTAGTTTCGTAATGCAACGAACTCAATGCAAACCGACGTTTCGGCTCCGCTTTGAACCATCTTCGACGTTAAATAAAATATGTTTCTCACGCTCTTTCCCGTTTGATGTTTAGCGCTTTGAGATCACCGACCGCAAAGCCATCGGTTCAGGAGACTGCATGATCGAAAACTGTAATGATCAAATCCTGTCATTAGCATGACCGTTAAAAGGAAAATAATGGCGACTTACTATAATCATAGACGAAAGAGTAAAAGTAGAATGGCCGGAGAAATATCCGTTGATAATAAAGAATATTATTATATTATATTAATAAGACAAATTTGCTAGTTTCTTCTAAAGTGTTGTGAAGGCTCCCAAAAAGAAAATATCTAGAAAGGAGAGAGTGCCAATGTGAGCCACAAAATGAACGGAACTTGGTTCTCACAATACAGAAACAGAATTTCTCTTTAATATAAACGTTTCAACCCTTCTTCGGGTCTTCGAGACTATCTTCGAGAATACAGTAAAACTTATGATATAGATTGGTACAACAATAATAATCAGTTACCTCGTTTAGAACGAATAGAGCTTATCTTAGGCGGTCTTGCTAGTTTCTCCCATAATAACAATTAAATACATTCTAAACATCATACTTTTGAACACAGCCACTAAAATGGTTTGATCTTTTTGTGAAGCCAGTCATCAGACGTGAAACCGTTTAAATGTATTAACGTATTAATGACCCGGTATCTTAAAAAAATATCCAAGATTTCTAATTGACTAATAAGAATATTCTTCAAGTCGCCAGCAGTAATTAACAACTTCAGTATTTTCTTGACCATATCTGGCATTTGAATAATACAGAAAATTTATTGCGAAAAATATTATCTCAGCCAGGGTTTCAACCTGGACTTCCCTACACTCTAGGCGGGCGTCTCACCAATTCGACCACTGAGGCATGTAATTTTTCTGAATTTCTAATTGAGATAATCAAATAATTAACAGAATCCTCACTCTCATTTTCGAGCAGTATAGAAATATCTTACATCTCGTAAAATTATCTTTCGTAATATCACAATTATTTTCTGCCTGGCAGTGCATTATCTAAAAAATGAAATTTCAAAAGCTGGCAACTTTGGATCGTACGGCCTCTCCTTTGTTTACACACCTTGATGCATAATTTCAAAATAGCCTCTTAAAATAAATATAATAATTTTAAATTGGTCTCTTCTTCGTTTCGCCAAGTTTTGCATTGATGCGACGCATCTGGCCGCGATTAGGCTCGCGAGTAATTCAGATCGATGGGAGTTCGTGTTACGCGGCAATAAGGAGGGAGACCCGTGTAGTTAACGTTGCGAGTTCTCCGTCCTCGTCTCTTCGCGGTTTACGCAAGATATATGCGCGCGTTACGCACTCACGTTGTGATATTGGTGCCCGACTCGCGGTATGAATCAGCCGTGCAAAATAGACCTCGATAAGCTCGACAGGCTCCGCGCCAGCGCTGAAGTCCCATTCAGACGATTACCCAATCCGCGTGCGCGCGAGGCGCAAAAAATGATCACGTTAGCAGAGCGCAAAAACGCTCAGCATCGCGCGTGTAACGCGCGCAGGGAAGTACGCGCAGATGTGTCCGAACGAACACGAGCCAATTTTATCTCTAGCAAGCCCGTGGGTATTTTCGAAAATTTTACGTATCCGCCCTCTCGGAAAGGATTTCTGATAGCAAGACAAAAAAATATTTTTTACATATAACATTTAAACTTATTACAACCTCATGTAGTAAAAGAGAAAATAATATTAAGTTTAAGTCACTAAATTTCTATTCTCCTCTCTCAAAGTGAGACTGACTTATTGTATTGAGATAAGGGTAACACGTATAAATTTAAGCACATACAGGGTGAATTTTCACTGAATCATTAAGGCTGTCCCAACCTTTTACCATGAGAGATGGATTACCGACTGCAACTGTAGCCTCTGGAAAAAATGGACAAAATCTCGTCATATGTGTCTCAATCATGTAAAACCTAATTTTATCTTGAGATATATAATTAAATATTATATGATTGAAACATATATAACGAGATTTGTTCCATTGTTTCCCGGATTGGCTACAGTTTCGGTCGGTAATCCATCCCTCATGGTAAAAGGTTGGGACAGCCTTAATTCAGTATTTAGTGTAAATCTTTTGTCGATGTATTATAACGCATCAACATCATTTCATTCTACATTTAAGAGTTTCCCATGTGAGATTAAAATATTCTCTCAAACCTACGGCCAAAATTATATCACCTTTAGGTTTTCTGAACATAGCTTTCGTCAAAGTGCATCAAATGTACTCAAAATTGCACAGCAGACACCTGATAATAGGTGCATCTTGTACACGAAGGGCAATGAAATTTGTCGAAATACATCGTGATGTTCGAATTTTTTTTTTATTCGTGCACTTAAAATCACGCTCAAAAAATTGAAAGATGACATAATTTTGGCCGGTACTGTACTTGTAAAGCACTCAATCCTGTCGCTACCTAAAAGTACATGTGAAACGAGCCTTTAAAATAAGAACCGAGGAGTGGAGCTCCTAAATTCTTGTAAGAGGGCGAAATAGGACCGCCTTAGTCTCTCCTCTCCTAGGATCCCCTGAACAGCCGGACGTTTCCTCGAAGCTACGGCGTGTTTGTGCACGGTGTAATCGGTGTTTCCCCGTAACCAGACGTCGCGGAACAGCCAGCCTAGGCGTCCGTTTCTTCTGAACACCGCAGCTTCCGTCCAACGTACAGGAATGCCCCACTACCGTCTTAATGCCTGCTTAATGTCCTTCCTCCTCTCCAATCTCGCTCCTTCCTCCAGCTCGTGGTATCGCTTTCCTGTTCACTTCAATGACAATCAGTCCCGTCGACGTTCTCGTACGCGCCGCATCGCTCGCACGCGTGTTTAAGCACGTGTCGTCCCTCAGGAGTGCGTGAAAAGACTCGGCGCGGTACCGTTTGGAACCTCTCGGGAGTGAAGAGCGCGAGTTGTTGCGAAGTGAAGGCGAGAAGAGCTGCGCGAACAACAATATTAAGTCGCACTTGGACTTCGTCGCTCTCCAGATTTTTTTTTTTTGCGCGATAACTTCGATCCCGGCGCTCGATCAACGTCTCTTGCTTTTATCTCGTAATTCTGTAACTCTTTTCGCATTTTTGAGCGTAAACGACGACGCGATAGTGACAACAATAGCAATCCCATGAGGATGTATACACAATTGGCACGATAGGCGCTGTAATTCCCGAGAAATTTGATTAAAGCTCGATAAACACTTTGCTTTTCTTATCAGCGCCAGTCTTTGACGCGATAGGGCGGCGTCTCAGCTCGCTCGGCCTTTTCTCATATTTCGCTTCGGCGAAGTAATTCGCAGTCACACTTCTCGGTATAATGTCTTAGAGTTACATATGCAAATTCCTTCTCAATTCAAATTCTTCGTCAGTTACCCTGCAAAATCTCTCGCTCAATTTTTAATTAGATATTATATTGCAAGATTGTTAACGATTATTTATCTCTCACGTATGTTACATTTTTTTACATAGATTTTTTGCATTACTCCGCTACGTTCGGGAGGCGAAGAACCGCCGACGTCTAGACCGGCTTGCGAGAACAGTCTCGCCAGGACCCTCGGCTCCGTTATTTTTTCCCGTTCGCGGATTTGTCCCTCCGGTTTCTCGCTTTCTCGCATTTTTTTTTCGCGGGCCCCTACTCGCCGAGGTCGGCCCCAAAACTCGCACTCGCCGCCGCTCGTGGGGTTCAACGTGCCTGAAATAGTGGGTGTGTCGGACCTCTCTCGCGAGCCCGCGATGGAGACGACGCGCGTACCCGAAGAGGAGAACCTGTACCAGGTGTACAATCACGAGAGAGCGACCAGTAACCTCGTTACTCTCGGTAAACCCATATTTCCTTGATAGTGTTAAGCTTCAAGCTCGGACGACAAGCCAGCCTTGGCGGGCAAACGAGTCGTCGGTTTCTATAAAAGTTTCCAGCTGCTTTTAAGGAATTCTCTCTCTCTCTCTCTCTTTCTCTGTCTCGTGAATGGAGAAAGTTTCGGACGAGAGGCAAATCCTTTACCGTCGACACCGCGCACGAGAGATTCGCTACAGACGTAGGTCAGAAAAGAACGTGAATTCGCGACAATGGAAATTCACGTGGTTTCACCTTTGCCCGCGTTCTAACGAACTTCTCACGCGATTATGACAGCAAAATGTTTATCCTCGTCCCAGTTTTTGATTCCGTCAAATCTCCACGTATTTTTCTCCATGTATTCGATGTCAAATACGTAATTAAACATAATTAAAATATACACGGATTTATTTGATTGAAATTTATGTCATTGAAACAAAATATATGCTTATATGTACAAAACATTATTTTTTTTAATAAAAATTTTATTCAAACAATCTCTATTATTTGATGGAAAAGACACTATTATTTGGAGTAACATCTTGCAATTAAATAATTATATTATTTGACCAGGCGCCTATAAAGTTCGGTGCTGCCACTAGATGGCCGTCCAACTCGTAAGTAAAATCACGGCGGCCAGACATAGTGTACTAAATACTAATTCAATGCTTATCTTTTTCTTCTAATGAAGAGAGAATTCTGTAGAGAAAAACGTATTACATTATAGAAGGAAAAAGATGTATGTAAATTTTGTTACATATTTTCTATCAAACGATAATGTTGTTTGAGTTAAACAATAATATCATTTAGATCAAAGAGAATATACCTTTTGTTTCAAACAAATATTATATTTTAGGCGGAGATACTATATATGTATATTATTTCAAATTCAAACAAATGATTTGTTTGATCCATTCCAAATATCAAATTTCTTTGGATACAACAAAATTTATTAAATCCAAAGAAAACGTTTTCTCTGTGTAATTTCATACGTCTGCCAGAAACACAATTTGCGTTTGCTTCCACCCGACACTTGTCATTCGCGTGGATTTCGTACTCGCGCGAGTTATATAGTGTTTAGCTCGTGCAGGTAAATGGGCAGTGTCTTCTGAGATTTTAAATTAAATAAATAAAACGCGCCATGGCAATTACGCGCCTGCCAAGGATGGCGGCGAAGCGGTTGAGCGTGGCGTCATCGCGAAACAATGTGGAGACATTTCCTTTTTTACATACGGCTGGTTGAAATTGAATAAATGATTCGATTGACCTAACAACGCGATATCAATTCGTGAAATATAATTTTGTGCTTTGTAACGTATTATTCTGTTTAACAAAATCATATTATACATAGCGTTCGAAAACTCATAATCGTGAGGAAATAAACGGGAAATGAAGTTCTCAGACCATAGTTCCTCTGCCATATTTTTCTCCGGTCATTATTTACCGAGTCATTTAACAAATAATTTGATCGGATGGCAATACAATGGTATACAAACTGCACGTACGCCTCATTCAACACTCCCCGTATTATTTGATTTAATTTTTATTGTCTTGTTTTTAAATAAATTAATGCGTCGGTCATTAATTTCGAAAGTATGAGCGTTAAATGTGGAACCCTTTTCGTGCCGTTTGAGCCGACATTACAGCGTGCACGGGATTGGTTGACTTAATAGTCAATAGAATTTTGAATAGATTAAAAATAGAAACAGGAACGATCATATTAGATTTCACGATCGTATTATACTATATTTTATTTTCTGCTTATTATTCTACGGTCCGAATAAGGATGCTGCGCTGTTATTACGGTTTTAGTAGTTCCTTTGCGATAATCAAATCTTTGATTATTGGAGGAAAGTTGTCTGTTATGAGATATGATACTAACATGAGGTAGTAGGTTTCCAAATTCAACCGTGAATCTTTTTTCGCAACGATTACACAATCGAACGATGAATTCTCCACGAAACAGGTTTCGCTCCAATAAATTCACGGTGGAGTCAACAGATGCCTATTAATTTAACAGAAATCTGCTATCTCATATTAGGGGCCTGTCTCATAATAGGGGAAACAGATGATAAATGAGCTGTTTGAATAAACAAGTTAAACGTCTTGATTTAGAAATGTCCACATGTTTAATTCTAATTTAGATCTCGCTTAATTGTGAATATTGTGAGCGTCTGTATTAATATAGTAAACGTAATCATTTCCATTTATTTCTATATACTGATCGCAATACGTGAAGGAATTGGTTGTGCGGTGGGAATGTAGTTTCCGCCCACTTGTCTCTACATAAATAACAATTGACAATCGCGTCGAAAGTCCGTAATAACGGGGAATGATAAATTTTAGGGATGAGCCAACATGAGTGGAATCGCACGGCACTTTTTTATGAGACAGACGTTAAACTTTCTGTAAAGGTTGGCTCGAACTGTGATTTCAATTACAGGTGAAACTAATCCGTCGGTCTACTGCATTTCCAGATGCGCTGCTGGCAGACCTGCAGAACACCGTGTCGTCAGAGGGAAATCACGTAGGTGCAGGTAACGCGACGCCCGGTTACGGATCGTTGAATGGCGCGCGTATCCACGCAACCACCGGCTATAGATCCTACGACAATCGAACATCTCCACTGCCACCGCAATCGGTATGTCGAGCATTGCAATCACAATTAGAGCACTAATAGATCTGGGAGGATGCGCCACTCACGCGCGCACTCGCCTAATTCCAGAGATATGCATCGAAAACCTTCGGACTCTGCGCGTTTACTTATCTCCGATTTGATCGTACGTCGTGGCGAATCAAAGTACCTTCAATATCGGCTGTTCCGTCATAGAACCTCGATTTTTTATGAGCTTTTAATATATTTGATTCTAGATTAAAACGAGAGATACATATTTTATAAACAATAGTGCAGACTGTCAGATAACAGTCACAAATAAAAATAAAAGGCAATGAGAGTCAAATGCTGGTAATGCGCGTATATTCTTATAAAAATAATAGGAATATAAACAATGTTTAAATTGGCAAACGTTTCGGACGCTTTCTTTGCAAAGACAACGGAAATGTAAATGGTCAGGAATTAAGATTTCAGTCTCATAGTAAAATTTAAACTATTGCCAAATAAAAGTACACAAAGACAGTGTATCTAAACAGGATCGCATTAATGTGATCTACAAAATAAATTGTCTCAACTACGATGCTTCTTATGTTGGTCAAACTAGTAGGCAGCTACATACTAAGTACAAATTTGTTTAGATACAACAAAATTTATTAACAACTAAAAATGTCAGATATGGTCAAGGAGATACTGAAGTTGTTAATTACTGCTGGCGACTCGAAGAATATTCTTATTAGTGAAAACTTATTAAATCCAAAGAAATCATTCTCTCCGTGTACAAGTTAAGTGGTCGTTAATCTCTCATTTTGTCCTTAATTTTTATGTACATTAAAAGCTCATCAAAATTGGAGGAGGACCAGTGTGGTTTCTTGTGGGTTAGATTCGCGGAGGGAATTTTAGAGGGATAGAGTTCCGTTTTGATGCACCGGCGAGAACGTTCCCGACGATAAAACGATAAGAATGGAACGTCGCGGTGGTTTATCGATGAGCCAGCGAAGCTCGACTTGTTGAAGAAACGTTGCTGAAGTCGCGGACGTGGTTCGCCAGATGGAGCCAAGTGGTTCGATGGCGATTCCAATTATTTTGAACGCTCGCGATTTCCGCAAGATACAAACTGCCAACGCAAAGCGACACTGGGTGCCAGAAGCATATTGACATATTTCGATATGCGCGAGATCGTAGAAGATAAAGAGAACTCTATTTCCAACAGAATTGGCGGCAAATAGACATTTTCTCTTTGCTATTATGTAAACCCTATTTCGCGAAAGTCACGGATTGAAGAGAGATTCGAAGGGGAGGATCAAGTATTCAGTTTATTTCCAGAGCTCTCTTTAATGCGCCGAGGAATGGCCATCGTAGAGGTTTTAGCCGATAGGAGTCCGCCATGATTCCTGCTCTCCCCCCAAGAGGGAGGGGTGGCCTATGAGAATTTTTCCGCTTACTTGAAAGAGAAAGGTCCAAGCTCGAACCCTGGCTAGGGTGATATTTTTCGCAATAAATTCTTCACAGTGATTTGAATAGGATGCTTATTAGCATCAAAAAGTGACTCGATTGTTCAAAGTATGTGGATTTACGGATTCCGATCGAAAGCTGTGCTTTAATTTTAACACCGACGCATAATTGGCGCGCTGCAGTTTACCGGGTTGGGAAGCGTACAGAAAATTCACAGAGAAATATCGTTGTTAGGCTATCAAGATCCAGCCCGACCGGAAAATGACATCCTCTCCAACTAATTGTATTAAACCCGTTCTCGTCTCATTTGCCCGCTGAAATATTAAAAGCGTCGAACATTTGTCGTACCCGTGTCATTTAGCACGTCTCTCTCTCTTTCGACGCTGGGCTCGTAATTTCAATGTGCTCCGTGGAACATCTTTCAGATGCTATACAAAATTAACTCTTTGGCACTAACACTGTCTCGCGATTCCAGTCTACAAAACGTCCCGAAATAGAGCAATCCGTCGTCATGGTCGCGAAAACGTGACACGGGGGGAATCCGTAAATAAACCTCTTCGCTGACGGTTAATAACTGTCGATACGATGTCTCGGCGAGATACAGCGCGGTCTTGTCAACGTCTTTTCATTGCCCGCGACTGGCTTTCAGGGCCACCATTAATACGGAACACCATTAACATGGACATTCACGATCAAGTGAATGGGACCTAGTTTAGTACCGTCATGGAATTTTCATCTCGAACGCGGACGCTTTTAAACGGAAATATTTTTATCTCTCATCGCAGAGCCTCTATGTCGCAGGTGTTCTTAATGCAAACACCATTATCGAAATGCAAAGCGCGCATAATACTTAATGTTAAATACACATTTTTACCACGAGGTAATAAAGGAGTAAGAGCCAAGACGGGATGTTAACGTCTGCATAATTTTAACATCAAGTCTATTGCGAAAAATAATACTTGATCAGGGTTTGAACCTGGACCACCCTCTCACTGGGCGGACGTCTCGCCAATTCGGCCGCCCAGGCATGTGCTAATATTTATCGCAATAAACAGCCTAATGTTCACGAAAGTCACACATTGTGACTAAACTCGGAATGGAACTGCGCGCCGACATATTTGTCGGTCTTACAACACAGAACAAATATGAATACCCTTGTTGCCCCACCACCCCCTCCATATGCATAATGAAAATAAAGAAACGCCTGGTCTCGTCCAGCGTAATTTAGACAATTAGTAACATTCATAAGGCTTTCGTGTGAAAACACAAGTACAAAGTAACAAAGGAGCGAGAGCCACGACAGGACGTTAGTGTCTAAATAATTTCAAGTCTATCGCGAAAAATAAACGAATTTGTAATTTTTTGTATCTACGCACGTATCCGCGGGCTCTGACGTTCCGGGGGCGTTTAACGTTGCGATTTCGCGCAATAATTTGATCGACGGACACTCTGAAATATTTTCAGAGCACGACTGCTTAAATTTGTTTAGACACGGTAACCGTCCGTGTTCGCAATCATGAAAATAGACCGCTAAATAAGTCGAGGGAACAAACTTCGCGGTGGTTGTCGCGGCGAAGTTTCGACGTTTCTGCCCCGCGCTAGCTCGCATCGCTCGTTTCGAGAGGGGAAAAAAAACGAGAAACTTCCAGAGAGTCATAAAGCACAGTCGGGAATAACTGTGACGCAACGGCGAGACTAAAATTAGAATCAATATCGCGTCTAAAATTGACTGTCCGAAGCATCACTACGTCGAAACGTACGCGGCAGACACGGAATCGCGCGTATCGGTCGGGAGATTCTCGAGTTACTCCCGGCGCTCTTTATTTTCATTGGGGAGGAATTACGCGGGAATGTGCCAGAGGATACGAAGGTTACGCACACAAACTGAACGTAATTTATTCGCCGCCAGTTAGAGCAGTGCATTAAAAAAATTCGAACACGGCTCCAGCAATTCCAGAAATCAGCTTCTAATAAAAAAATCATTTAACTCTTTGCAGCCCGGTATAAGAAAAAATACGTTCTTTTGAAAAGACATTTACCAGGTATATATATATATTATGTACACTGGTCAAAAAAATTAACGCAACAAGAAATTTACCTCAAAATTTCGCGAATTTCAAATAAGCGTAACTATGCGAAAACTGGTCGAATTGAAAAGTTTTTTTTTTTTCATTTTATAGGGCAAAGCCTCTGCTTTAAGAAGCTCTTATTGGAATTTGCATTCACTCTTCCCATTTCCCGGAACTTCCTCAAAATCAAGATCATGTTTTGTTTTCTAAAAAATTGCTCACTTTGACGCATTGTACGGAGTGTAATAATTTTTCTTCGCCAGTTCTGCCTAGGGTATCAAAAAGTGTGTACTTTTAATTTAAAAAAAAGTTCCTACGATTTTTTTTCGCCAAATTACAGATCATTGAAATAACCCTTGTGTTTTTTACATTACCGACGACATTTCCGTCAAAAATCATCGTAGCAAGATCTTTTTTTTTAAATTAAAGCTTGCACTTTCAGCTTTAAGAAATTGTCACTAAATTTCTCCTCAAATGCACCTGCGCTGCTGTAGCTGTTAAAATGTAAGGACATGTTTTTACCTAAAAAGTAACCAACTTTGGCCAGGTGCCCGGGCGTAGGAAATTTTTCTTCGCTAATTCTGCTCATGGTATC